GTCCTCAAAAGGGAGAGGAAAATCCCACAGTGCCTTGGCAGGAGAGGTACTCCCAGTACAGGAGATTTCACGCTCCGTGACAGAAAGATCTTACCAACTGGAAAGGATTTTACATCGTCTTCAAAGATATTTCTCCCATTCTTCCAGTCTTTCACTTAAGAGTAGCACCAGCTCAGTATGAACCTTTACAGATGGCAAACAGAAATAAGGCAATGCCTCTTTACTCACCCATGGAAGACACTGCCTGGTGCTGGATGACAAAGCAGATGCACAAAAACAAGTACTGGAACATCCCACTCAGCCAAGGAGCAGTCACTGCTCAAGGAACAGAGGCTTCAAAGCCCTCACACACCCTGTGGCTCTTGCAGCCTTCCCCTCAGTGGAACTCCTGACTCAAACCTTCCAGAAGAGCAAGTGTGGTCGCTCTGCTGGAAGTTTATCAGAGGAAGAAGCCGAAGGGATGTGGGGAACAGCTCCAGCCTTGACCTCCCCAGAGCAGCTCTGCCCCTGATTGACAGCAGAGATGCACTTACTGCTCAGCTGTTGTTTTTCGGACTCAACCTGCTATTGTTTTCTGCCCTGACTGCCCCACGGTGACACCTCCACTATCTCATCCGGAGAGGAGTTCTAACCAGGGACACCCGGACATCCCGGAGGAGATGGAAGAGAAGAACGGATGGGTGCTCGTTATCTCTGCTACTTCCACAAGTCCTACGGCTCTGAGGCTCCCACAGGCAGAAAACACTGGCCAGAGAGCCTTAACTGCAGGAAACGGTGGCCAAAGGAGGGGACTGATCCTTCCGAGCAGAGATTGCAGAGGAGTCCCTGGAGCAGAGCTACAATGGGGACATCAGTCAAAGTGAAAGACCGGTGTCCCACGGGGAAACAAGCTGTTCCTAGGCTCTCTTTTCACTCCTGGTCACACAACCTGATTGCAGCAAGGTTATCAAACAAGACCCTTTTCCGCAGCAGTCTTATAATCTCCCGTCTTTAAAAAGCAAAACCAAACCAACAGTCAAAAAAAATCCGACATTAAGGAATTAAGTTCCATGCAAACACAAGTAGCTGAGAGCCTCTCCTTGCTGGTTCAAACCAAACTAGGCCGAGCTGCAGGTGATAACCACAAGCTCTGGATGCAGCACCCCGAAATCTGTTCTCTGCTAAAGCAAACCCAACACCACGCTGGCAGTGGGATACCAAGGACAACATGAATAAGTGGAGAGGGATTTTCCCTCTCATCCCATCAGCTCTTGCTATAAGAGATCTCCATCAGCAACAAGTGCAGGTAAGCCCACAGTAATCACTCAATCAGGCAAGTGGATGCGTTTCTCCCTTCCCTTTGCATCCTGCATTTCTGCAGCAGGCTGGAGTAGGGAATGACATCAAGGCTGGTGAGCCTGCTTGAAATCCCAGCACGGAAAAAGCAGCTCCATTATTTTCACACCGAGTTTGCACAAGGCAAGGAGGGAGGTGGGTGTTTGCTTTGTAGGGATTGCACACTACAGAAAGTTCTCAGTGGTCTCTCCCTGTCTGGATGTGTCCCTGGCAGCAAAGTGCAACTTGCTCCTCTGCTCCACAGGAGTCTTTTTTTTCAGTGGTGAATGACTCTGGGGAATGACAAAAAAAACAAAACAAAACAAAACAAAACAAAACAAAAAAAAAAAAAACCAACCAAATAAATTACTGACACTGCTCCCACCAAAAAAATAAAATAAATAACAAAATCCTTGTGGCTCTATTGTGCTGACAGCTGTGCAGTACCAGAAAAGGTTTTCCAACAACAGGAAAGGAGGGCAGATTCACTACACAAAGCTATCAGGCAGATAACCCTCAAACAGTGCTTGTGTGAATTCCCAGAAGAGAAACTAAAATTGAATGGAGAGTAAATGCAACAAGCCGCAGGGATTTATATTTTGCCGTTTTCATCGAGAGGCTGATTCCCACTTATGATCCTGGGTAAATAAAACTGGCAAGCCTGGGTGGAAGGTTCTGTTGGTGTCACAGGTGTGTACAGTTACTCTGAACCATCTCATTTCCCAGCTGCTTTTGTTCTGGAGGTGCTACACGAGCCTGTCACAATCGTGTTTTGGCAGGTACCTGCAAGGGACTGACAGCTGACAATTAACACAGGGAAACCAACTGCAGTGCTGCAGTTTTGAGCCCCAAAGGGGTCACCGACAGGCCCCAGCAAGTTCCCCAAAATGGATTAAAGCAGGAGATGCCCAAGCATTCCCAGAGATGGCACTATCCCCAATCACCACGACATCTACTTCAAGGAAAGGGTCTCAAGCTGGAGAAGACTGTGTGCTGCCTCTAAACAGCTTTGGGAAGAAGCACCAGGGGCAACTCCTCTATCAGCACTTTCTTTTTGCTTTGCAAATTAATTTGGGTGACAAACATTGCTCCACAAACAACAGTAGCCTGTATTAGATCACACGGATCAGTAGCCACTTCTGAGAGCAGAGGAGGGGAAAAAAACCCCAACAAACAAAATCCTTCCTGCGAGGAGATGCTGTGGGAGAGAGGACACAACTCCAGTGGGGCACTCCAGGGCCTGCACTCTCCAGGCAAACCCATTGCTCCTGACCTCTGCTCCCACACCCCGAAGTCGAATGAATCCAACTTCCCAAAAAGAATCAGGACCAAGGTAGTACTTCTTAGAAGTAGCCATCAGTACTGTTTAAAAGATATAAAGGGGGGAGGCAGTATTAAAACAATTAAACCAGCTCTGGGTGCAGGGACCTCCCCAGAAGGAGCAGGAGGAAGAGCTAATCAGCACTTCCCGCCGCCGAGGGAGAGCAGAACCCGGCACACGCGGCAGGAGCCCCCTCTGGCATCAGCTTGAGGATGCAGGGTCACAATAAGCCCTGACAGGCTGCTGAGATGGATTGCACCAGAGTCAAGGGCTCTGAGATAGGCCTTGGTGCTGTAAACAACTTGTCCCAGGACACGGTGCCAATGGGAAGGGCTGGGGAGATCAGGCAGGGAACACAAGCTTAGGGAAGAACGAGTGAACTCAACACAAGTAAAACCATCCAGGGCCCCTTAAAATCAGGCAAGTGCATCACCCCTAGTGAAGAGCAGCAGTTGTTTCCTTTCCCTTAGTGGAGCCCTGGGATGCAGAGCCTGGTGTTTTTTGAGAGTGTTTTCCCACAGGTCCTGCAGAACCCAGTGTATTTTCCATGATCCTCAATTTTCAGATGGACCAACAACTGCAAAATAGTCAGATGCAGAAACAGGAGACTCATCTTTTACAAGCTCGTAGAGCCACAGCCCAAGACCACACTTCAGAGCTTAGGTATACTCCAAGTCTTATTTCCATTCCTGTTTTTTACTTTTCACCCCTTTTATGCCATAATACAAATAAACCTGATTTTTTTTTTTAAAGGAAATAATTAGAATCTCTTGGGATAGGTAGAATAGCTAAGATACAAAAATCTCCTTCTCGTGTGAAAATAAAGCCATACAATGTGGCAGAGGGGAAAGCAGCTTGCATTTACAGCTCCACTCACAAAACAAAAAAAAAAAACCCAGAAGATATCAAAGAAATTGGTCCACTGGCTCAAAGACAGGGCAACTTGGCCAGCTCCACTCAACTGGCAGAGTGCCAAGGTCTGACAGCCAAGAGCAGCTCCAGAGCATCACGGAAACTCTCCTAGAGCCAACATGGGAGTGTAGGGACTTGCAGCAAGGTGGATCATTGTGGCCACCTGCCAGGCAGGGAGGGAGAGAGGGCAAAAGAAAAAGGGTTTCTTCTTTTCTCTTGAGGAAAAAGGAGCCATGAACACCTTTCTCTGGCAGGGCCCTGTTGCCTGCCTGGCTCCCAAGATGGGAAATAGCTGCTGCAAGAGAGAGTGTTCACCCTGGGATTTAATAGTGAGGATCAGGAGAGCAAACAAACATTGCCCTTCCCTTCAGTGTCAGCATTCCAAGGCGCTGAGACGGAGTGTGAGGCTTGTGGCATGTCATCCACACCTGGCAGAGATCACAGTGCACTGGGACTGCAAAATCTTTGGGAATATGGACTAACAAGACCCCCTGGACAACCTGAATTTCAGAGGACAACTGCAGACTCTTGCCTTGCTTTCTTCTCCCACATTGTCTCTATAACAACATTAAAACACGTGCAGGGACAATTTTGTCACAGCATCTTCTTGCTCTCAAACCAGAGATCACGGTGCCAGATGTCATGAGTCTCCTGTTCTTCTGGATGCCAAAATGGGTGACCTTCTTATGCAACTGAGCCAAGCAATTTATATAAGGATGGCACCAGTTCCTCTGGACACAGCAGTGGACTAAGGGCTGCTTGGAGGAAGAAGGTCTGTCAGCTGTGATTAGAGGGAGGTGACAACTAACAGCTTCCAGTCCTTCCCCTCAGCTTTAAAAATCACAAGAGGTGGCTCTTTCAAAAACTGGCCAATCATAGGTTTGTTTTTTTTTTTTTAACAGTTGATGGACACGATAGAAACCTGCACCAAACACCCCATCCCAACACCACAAAGTTAGGACAAAGTACAATCTGCTGATTCCCAAAGTTAATGAACAAATCAGATGCCACCATGACAGATCAGACCATTCAAGGGCCCAGAAAGGAAGGAACAGAAGCTTAAAACTTCAGCTTTCCTCTGAAACGGCACGTGAATGAAACAGAAACGCTCTGACACCCCTTGGCTGACACTTTTTAGGTAGCTGGGGTGTATATTCTTATCCTGCTACTCTGCTGGCCAAACAAAGGCACACCTTTGTTAGACCAAGCTTCTCTACCTCAGCACCTCAAGTGCTCCCAAGATCTCTGTGTTAGGCAGCCAGGCCTGGCAGCAGGATCTCCATCCCAGCTTCTTCAGCAAAGCTCTGATCTGCATCCCCACGGCCTCAGAGAGGTAAGGTCGGCAAGAAACCACCTAAACAAAAAGAAATGGAGGAAAACTCAGCAGGGAGCCGCCACACAAGGCAACCTTCTCTTCCCAGCTGGGGGAAATAACGTTATTCGAGAGCACCCGTTCAAAAATTGAATAGTTATTTATTGTTCCAGAAGTACATTGCTCTTTTATACATATTTCATAAATGATACAGGATTTTACACATGTTCAGGTTTTTTTTTGTTTTGTTTGTTTTTTTTTTTTTTTTAAAGAAGGACTTTTCTCCATGCTCCCTCCCTCGTCCCAAACACACACCAAGGATTCAGCTACAGGATTGTGTTCTTTTTTTTTTTTTTTCTCCCCTTTAAAACTCATCACACAAACAGGATAAAACAGATAAAAAAATAATCACACGATGTAATTAAATGGAAAGACAGAGGGAAAAGGGAAGGGAAAAGAAAAACAAAACTAGAAACATGCACCCATTCGGTCCAACATGCCATTGAGTGAGAAGAAGCAGCAATCCCAGCTGTGTTTCCACATCTGCAAGGCACCTGGAGTCTAATTAATACTGAATTATTTTCTTTCCTATTTTTCCTTTTTTTTTTGTTGTTTTTTAAAACATGATTCTCCAAAAAAAGAAAAAAAAAATCAAAACACGAAGCCTCTTTCCACGACACAGTGAGGAGTAGTAGTGAAACATCAAAAAAAGCAGCCAGCCTTTCTGTATATAAAGCTTAGTGTCCTTCTCCCACCTTCATCCTGTCTCCAGAGCATTTATCAGCAGGATGCTAAACCAGACTTGACCTGCTTTGAACCAAGAGATGTTTTATCTGCTCAGAAACCAGCCAGCCTTGGCTAGGAGAGAGGGCAATGGGTTGACCTTCCTTCCTCTATTTCTTTTTGGCTAAGGACAAGAGATGTCATTAGCCACTCCTAAGGAATTCTGACCTGTGGACATAAAGTTCATTTAAAGCTACTCAATCAGGGGAAAGTGCTAGAAAAAGAAAAAAAATCAAAGTTCTATGTCTTGCACTGTAAGAAGCCCCAGGCTCTCAAAAAGCCTCTGGGCAAGGAAACTGCTTTGACCATACATGAAACCTTTTATCCCATTGCACAAGCAGTCAAATATCCTCAGTTTCATTATTCCACGTTCCAAAACTGTTCATTTAAGAGCAGGAGTCACGATTCTGCCACAGTTTTGTAACCCTTTAAAGCCTTCATAATTTCACAGTCCAGGTGGCTATCAGATTTGGGGTAGGAAGAGGGGAATCTCCCCCTCCCTTAAGACTGAATATAAAAAAAACCTCTCATGCAATGCTGCCATGGGTTTCTTGAAGGAGCTCAAGGGCACTGGGACGTGAAATTTATATAGTTAATACGGAATAATCCAAAATATCAATTATCAAACGTCCAGAAGAAAACTCATTCCTTCTCTCACTTGGCTACAACCAATCTGTGCTACAAATAAGCAAAGGAGGAAGTCAGTGGAGCACAGGGGGGGTGGGCTGGGAAGGGGAAGCTCACGGTTTTTCCAGTAGAAAGCAGTCTCGTAGTAACTTTTTTATAAAAGAGACCAGGTCTGACCAGAAGTGTGCGTGTTAATGGCGGTGGAGTGCAAGGTCTGATCACCAGCCAGAGGCTCCAGGTGGCTTGGATTCTTTGTTCTTTTTTTTTTTTTTTTTGGTCTCCTTTTGTTGTTTTTGGTTGGTTTTTTTTGTTTTGTTTTGAGAGAGAGAGAGAGAGAGATTGGAATCAGGTAAAGGAAAATTTAAAAAGCTAAGCAGGCTGCTGGTGTCTTATCAAGAGGCAGACCCTGCAAAGCTGGAAGAAGACACCCCTCCACCCCAGCATTACATTCTTCTCATGAACCCCCCCAATCCTGTATTTGTACACAATCGCCATTCAGTCAGTTTGTAAAATATGACTATTTGCCAAGCCCTTTTCAGAATTAACATTCCACAATGTCCCATCTTCAGATTTAAGAGATTTCCCCCCTCCCCTTCCTTTACAGTCCTTTGTCTTGATTAAAGGTAAAAACCCTCCACCCCCCACACCACCTCCCAGCTTCCACCTGCAATGCTTTAATTAAAAAAGGCAAGAGCTATGAACAGGTTTTTGGCCGGGGTTCAGAGCTTCTCTGCTGATCAGTCCTTTTCAGAAATTTGCTGGATGGGCAGATGAACCTGCAGTGGGTCTCGAAGCCTCTTAAGATCCAATTCTGCCTAAAAGTAGAAGACACATTATGAAGCAAAAGCCCCCAACACCCCTTCCCCTCTCATTACCATTTCCCTTCAGAGAATTGAAAGTTGCTCCTTATTTCTTGTTTTGTTTTGGTTTTTTTTCTTTTTTTTTTCTTTTTTTTTTCTGTCCAGAAGGAAAGGGTTAAAAGAGCAAAACAAAATCCCGAGCTCTTATCTGGGAAAACCATTCTCAGCTGTCCTTCTCTCCAAAGCAGGGGGAGAACTCATCTTGCCCTGCATATCCTACACTGGCATTTCCAGAGCCTGGGTGTAAAGGGATGATACAGAGCAGTGAAAAAGAACGTGGCAGCTCTGCTTTCTCTGCTCGTGCCACCCTTCTGCAGGAAAGGTTCAGAGAAACACAAGGAAAGGTCTCTTTGCTGAGCAGATCCCACAGTGTGGACGGCCTGCCAGAAAGTGTCTGCCTCCAGAATCTGAGAAATCTGCCCCAACATTGCCTCTGACAATACAGCTACATTTTCTGAACATGACTTTCCAGCACTGCAACCCGGTGCACTGAAGCGCTATGTCAGGAAGACATGAACTGAATGGATGCAAGTCTCCATTCCTCACTGAATCCATCTGGTGTGTAGGAGCTGAGAAGGAAAGAAATCTTGAATTAGGCTCCTCTGAGGCATGAAAAGTGTCTGAAGCAACTCAAGATTTGCCAGCAGTTTCTAAAGGGCCCTTACAGATGGATATAGACAAGTGTTTCACGTTGATTTAGGCATCCAGCAGTTCTATTCCTGGGAATATCAAAGCCAACTCAGTGGTTGTGCTGGGGCTGTGACAAGAAAATGGGCTGAAAATCTAAAATACATTCATTCTTGTTTAAAGTGTGTCTATTAATAGCAACTAAGAGCTAGCAAGCAGTAATTTCTTGGTCTTTTTTCTGGAAAAGTTCTCGTTACCTGAGCAATTGCATCCTTGAGTTGATTGTATTTCTCTAGATCAAATCGTGTCTTTTTGGCTCCTTTATGGAAAAATAGTAAGTACTGTCTGTCTCTGGCATCTGGATAAACATATTCCTAGAGAGAAAAAGAAGAGAGAAGGTATGAATAAAAGGAGAGGATGAGTCGTTTCTGACAGCAAAGGCACAAGACCAGACAGGCTGGTCTGAGCTCACACGGTGTGGTGGGTGACCCCTGCCAGCAGCTCAGCCCCCACCCAGTCACTCTCTCACTCCCCTGCAGCTGGATGGGGGAAGAGAATCCAAAGAGGGGGGGAACCAATAAAAACTTAGGTGTCAAGATATAGACAGTTTAATAACTGAAGGAAAAAAGCCAATAACATAAGAGTGATGCAAAGGCAATCACTCACCACCTCCTGCCAGCAGATCAATGCCCAGCCAGGCTCTGAGCAAGAGCTGCTTCGGAGAAACTCCCTCCATCGTTTATAACAAAACACGGTGGTACAGGGCATGGAATACCAATTTGGCCAGTTCAGGGCAGCTGTCCCAGATGTCTCCCCTCACAACTACTCACCCACCTCCAGCCTCTTCCCAGGGGTGGGGAATGGGGGGTTGGGAGAGGGCAGATCAAGGAGGAATAAAACCCAGAGAAGGCCTTGATGCTGTACAAGCACTGCTCAGCAACAGCAAAATCACTGGTGGGTCATCAAGGCTGTCTTGGTCACAAATCCCACACACAGCACCATCCCAGCTGCTCTGAAGAACATTAACCCCATCCCAGCCAGACTGAGTACAGTCAGGCATTTGTTAACACTCCAGCAGTGAGTTACCATCACCTTCCTCCTGTCCCCCAATGTGTGAGTCCTTCTATGCAGAGAGAACAAAAACTAACACATTTCAGGGTTCTAATACCAACAAGTTTGTGGGGAAAAAAGAGAGGAAAAAAAGCTATAAGTACTGCCCCTGAACTGATGCAGCTGAGAGACCCCTGGGACACCACCTCTAACACCCACAGCATCTGTTCCGATGGCCTTGTGACTGTAGAGACTCCGAGTCCTCCCTCCCTCGTTATTTAGGTGGGATTAGGAAGTGATGAGAGAAACCATGTACTAGAAAATCCACACAGAGTCTGTCACAGTTACAAAGATGCAGAGAGGGATTCTTCATCTGGAGGGGAGGCCAGATCCATGAAAAGCCTAAACAAAAGCATTTCCAACAAGATGCCTGAACCTTGGTCTCTTGAAAAGGGCAAAAACTGCATGTCAGAGGGGAGGGCTTCCTTGAAACTCAACAGTTACCTCATGTACCCGATACCTGTCTGTTCTGACCATACCTGGCAGCAGATGAACCTGTATAGCTACAGCAGTCAGTCACCAAACACATAAAAGCATTTTTGATAAGAAAACCAAGCAACAACCAGCAGCAGAACACCCCCCACAACCACACCCCACCAAAAATTAAACAAGCGCTGGTTCTGACACGATAAGGAAGGGGCAAAGCAGCTTCTAACAGGCACACAGTTCTGCTCTTTTTCTAGGGAGGAGAGCCCAAAGAAAGCCTTCTACTGCAGGGGCAATGTCAGCACAACAAGTCCTACCTGGCGGGTCATTACGAAATAAGCATACATTGCCATGGCACTACCATAGGTGATGAAATACGTGACTGGCTCCATAATGTCCCAAGAATATTCCCACCAGGTGAGGCGGGCCAGAATCCCAAACTGAGTGGCCATGTAGGCCAGGCCTCCCCACAACACCAAGGTTGTCCTCTTCTCTGCTTTCCTGCTGAGCTCCATCCTTACCTGCAGAAGACAAACACGCGCCTTGTAGTCTCAAAAATAATTGTGTTAAAACCGTTGAGAGATAAGGTAAAAAAATAGTACTTTATATTAATAGTAACTTTAAGGGGTTTGAAGCATGAGTTGAGTCTACATTATGCAAACAAACTTAAGTTTCTTTTCCATCAGTATGTGGCCATCATCCATATTTACTCTGAGCATGCTCTGAATGCCTCACAAAGGTGTTTATTTCTTCGTGTCCAGAGATGTTCTGTTGCATTAGCCCCAGTCTTTATTTACTAACAAGTTCATTTCCAATTATTTAAAGCAAAGAAACAAAATACTTCCACAGGAACCAGAAACAGACATGGTTTGGTAAACACTTCGTGCACCTTCTGCTTCAGTGATCTTTAAACTACCTGAAGCATGGCAGGGACCTAATTAAAACCTCGAAATAAATCACGGGCTGCATTTGGAGAACGAGTAAAACACACTGAGGAACCCCTCACTTTTTCTAGTGGTGCTAGTTGCTCCTTCAGCTCCTCTAGTCTCCCTATCAGCTCCTTCTCTTTGTTCAGCTGGTGCTCCTCGATGCTCAAGGCTGTGTACAACTGCTGAACCAACGTCTTCACATCATTCAGCGTCGTTGCATTTTCATGGCTTAAGAGCTCTAGGGGAAAAAAAACAAACAGACACACATGTACCCGCCCACAGGACTTCTCACATCCCTCTGAGAAACTGCTCTTAGTCTGCACAGAACCATCTTTTAAACAATGAAGAGCTCCAGCACTCTCAGACAGCGGGATTCCTTTAAAAGAAAACCAGGCTTTATTCTTGGATGTTCCTAAATTTCGATAAGCACAAGGGATAGAGACACATCCTATCAAGCATGCCAGGTATCAACAGCTGCTTCTGACCCGTATTTACAGACAGGACAAATGAACAACTAAACTAGTTATGATCCATCACAGCAGCTGTCGAGGCACAGTCAGAATTCAGGCCACAGACTGTCAGCAGCCCCAGTTTATTGATGATGGCAACTGAACACTGAGGGTCAGTGACCCCACGAATGTCTCATGATCATTACTCTGAGTATCAATGTCAAGAACTGTTTTTCCCAACACTTTGTGGGCAGTGAATGCTCCCTTCATGGTGTTTAGAGGCAGTGACAGGGCCATGAACCAAAAACACCTTTACCCTTGTATTTTGACACAAAAAGGATTTTTAAAGCATACAGGTTTGTAAAGGAGTTGTGACCAGTGGTATTGTGTTACACACTCCACGTGGAAAACAGGTTTCAAATTAAAGGAAAAGGATCCTGACATTAGCCAAGTAAAGAAATGCATTTTTTTAAAAATAGTTTTTGTAGCATCCTTGGGTTTGTACCTGAGGTTATCGTCTCAAAATAGGATTTTACCAACTCAAAAAGACATGGGCAGCTTAAGCTTTAAGATCAGCAGCTCTACAGGGAAAGAAATGACTCAGTTGTCTATGCCAAGGGACACAAAGCACATCATATCCCCCTTCAGTTAAGGGGTTCCTGTTCCCCTATGAAGAAAAACCCGTGTTCCTACTGAAGTGACCGCCAAACAGTGTTTAGGATGACAGTGCTCTGGCATTTCCATTTTAAAACACACAAGGTGACCCAAAAGGTCAGTCTCCTGATTTCTGACAGGTCAACTTGCTTTAATATGTTGCCTTCTTCAGGCTGCTCAAGATGATTAAGTGATCACAGATTTCGCCTCATGAATGATTCTGTTCATTATCTACTGCTTGAAGAGTGGAAGGCCCAAACATTAGAAAAAAGGCCCAGATAAACAGGGAAGGTATTTTTACCATCTAACCTCAACTGGACATGCAAGTCAAGTAATAAACCCTCCCGAATTTTTCTGCCTGTCTACAGGCCTACAAGTTCTTTTTAGAATCCCAGTATTTCCTACAACAATAACAGAACAATAAAGTGGACAAAAATCCCCCACAACTGTGAGACAAGCAGAGCAGCATTTCCCAAACTGCCCCTTTTGTTGCAGTCCCTCAGAGGTGCAAGACCTTGGTGCTAGGAGAAAGAGGAGAGGGCAGATGAAAACACCAAGTTCCTGCTTCCACTTGTAATGCTGGAGTGCCTCAAAAGCTTCTTGCAAGTTTTCACATCTTGAAAATTACACACCTCCGAAGCACATTATTGAAATGGATTTTCTCATTGATTCAAAACAGGTCGGTTTCCCTTCCTATTTGATTCTTGTTAAAAAACTTTGTGAGAGCATTGTCTCATTTACTTGACTGTTTGAGGTACATTTGCAATATTCACACTATCACACTTAAATGGAAGCAATGTCAACTGTCAGGGGAAGCAACAATTTATTCTTCCTCACCAGACAATCTAAGTCTCAATCCAATTGCCATTTTGTGTTGTATTCCTTCAGAATGAGTAAAATTAAATTGGTTTTCAGTAATTAAAAAAAAAAACACCCAAAAACATTTGAAAATTTTAGAAATGAAAAGGAATTACATTTCTTTGTTTATCCCTCCTGGGGGGGGGCTGGAGGCACTGGCTTTGAGCAGAATGAATATCTGCTTTTCATTACTGATTAATCAGATATCACTAAATTAGACACCAAAGGCAGGATTCAAAACTGCAACATTTCCCTTCAGAAATAAACACTTCGTGTTCCTGAATAAGTTAATACAGCACGTTGCAATTAAGCAGGGAACCGAACACTGAAATTTATTCCTGATGTTTGCCAGAACCAGGCTGCTTTACCTCTCTTTGGTGGTCTAACATGGTATGTGACATCATTAATGATCAGCTTGAAGTCATCCAGCAGCAGCAGGTCTATGCCTGTGGAGGAGGCGACGCGTGTGCCATCTGTAAGGAAAGCGCAGACCACTTCTCACAGAGGAGGAATAAAGGACCTAAACACCATCCCAAACCCAGCTGCTGGGCTTCTGTCCTTTCCCACAGACAATGGTTTTCATCAGGACGGATGAAATGTGAAACACGACTCAGTTCTCAGAGCTAAGACCTTTCACATGCAACGCCTTGCAGATCCATTAGAACCCCTAAGTAGGTTGCACAGCTTGCATCTTTCCTACTAAATAGCAGGCAACTCACCAAAAAACACCTCTGTTAAGGCTGATTCCCTTGGCACACCGGTCTACACAGGGATAGCTGATAATAATCTTACTCTAGGAAGGGCATTTCTACCTTCTGCTTTTTCACCAAAGTCGAAGAACTCACCCCACAGCAAACTTCCACTTCAAGAGCAACAAGCTGGATGCAAAGAGCACGTAAATCAATTGGTTTGTAACCACCAGTACCTGCTGAGTAGATTGCAACCCGATCAATTCCTCGGTCCTCTGCCTGCAGCTGTTGTAAGAACACCCCCACAGAGTCCGAGATGGGTTTCAGGGTGAACTGGCAGCGCTCGCGTCGCGATGGAAGACTCACGGAAATCACAGGTAACCCGTTTTGGTAAACCACTGTCACTTCTAAAACACGACAGAAATACGAGTTGGTCATTCAAAATTAACACCTCTTCTCACATTAGTAGTTCTCTATTTGCCCCGTGGAGAAAGAGGCAGACGTGGTTTTAAGATGGATATAAAGCAGACTAAGCTTTTGGGTTTATCAGAACGTGTGTCCATCAAAGAAAAACTGAGGGATACTTGAGGTTTTCTCTCCCATTAACTTGGCAGAAAAGTTACTCGCTCTAAACTCAGTCAACTTTATACTAAAGGCAACATGATACCTAAAAGCCAAAACGTGGCAGCCCAGTATGTTTAGGTTAGTTTTTGAGAATCGAAACGTTTCGGACTATGGAAGACAAAACACTGCAATTTATCAGGATTTATAGCCCAGCAGACAAAGGCAGACCGTGTGTATTAGGAAAAATCAAGGAAGGAGCAACTTCCAATGCTTTTATTCTTGTTAAGTTCTGGTTTCCTCCTCTTTGTCCTGAGGCAACAAATATTTAAGAGAGCAGTCAGGAGCATGAGGTTGTAGGAAGCAGCACTCTGAGTTCAGGCTTCAAGGTCATTTCATCTAAAATTCATGGGATCAATACTCTTCTCGAGACAGACATCACTACTTAGGTGTAGACAGGACAAGATTTTCCCATTCCTTTAGTTCTGCCAGGAGCATTTTTTTTTTTCATAAGCATTCTCAAGGATTTCAGTGCACCTTTCTAAAATCCATAGTAGTGACCTGTAAGAACTGTAAGCTGGTTATTATTTCACCGCCAGAAAGACAACCTCAAGTGCTTCAGGACATCCATGCACAGGAAGTTAAAAGTTCACGTTTCCAAAGTCCTCTACTCAATCACAGCCAGTCAAAGCTGTCCCTCAAGTGCAGTAGTTGCTAAGATATAGCAGTGAATCTAAAAATGATTTGACTTGATACGTATCTTCATGTAAAAACCTACGGTCTGTTTTATTGCTCAGAGCATTTGCCACGTCTCAAGGATGGTTCAGTCACACCCATCCACTCTGCATCTGCCTCAGTATTCCCACCTGGCGTAGCTTTGGTCAACTCCCAGCTACTTCAACTCATGGATTGACCTGCTAAGTCAATTCAAGCAGCTAACATCAAAACTAGTCAGTCAAAGAAGTCAATACATGAGCAGAAAGAAAGGCAAACAATCTTATTTTAACTACCAAAGGGAACTACTAGGACAGGTCTTGGAGACACCTGTCCCAAAAGGAAGGCTCATGGCTGTTGAGAAAGGATGCACCAAGTGCACCTGAATGAAGCCAGAAGAGTTCTCTTGGGTTTCTGAGCTGTCACACACCTTCATGAACTACATCAAGCATGAAAAGGGCTTTTCCCTCTTCCAGAGCACAGCTACCCCAAATGCCTTCAGGACTAGGTGGAGGCGACTAAGTGTGGACACCTAACATGACTAAAGCATCCTAAGAGGCCCCAGAGAATTTTGCCTGTTCTCAAGACTCAGACACCTGCCAGGATTTTAGTAGCTTTAGTGTTTCGAAGCTCAGAGCTCAGAGACAACAGACAGGTATTTCCTGGGAAGAACTAAAGCAAACTGCCAATTTCTTTGGACAGTTAGACAGAATTTCAAGCTCCTTATCAGCAGCTGTTATGACACCAGCTATCAGATTTTGGGGGGTTTTCAACACGAGACTGGCAAGAAACAGATTAGCATTAGCTACACTCATCACAGCAGGATCAGAAGGGGCAATCCACATGTTTGGGAGCTCAAAATAGCCACTTAAGCATAGAATTCATTGGTTGTGTGAGCAGCATATGCAACAGACCTGTGCTTACATAACCACGGAGCACACACCTGACTGAAAACGCCGCCTGGATCACGGGGGCAGCGAGCAGAGAGGCACTTTGCTGCAGAGCAGGAGAGATAACACTGTTTGCACGGACACTTTTCTGTGTATCCCCGTTGCTACCACACCACAACCGCAGCTCCAGGACTGCCAGGCTCTGGGGGGACTGCCTGCCAGCACCAGCCCTGCTGCTGCATTTTAAAGAGTCATCAGCGCTGGTGGCGCACACAAAAGCCTTTCTCGAGGATTTCCAGCTTAGGTGAAGTATTACAGACCAAATTATTTCCCTTCAAAAGACAGGGTTCACTAAGTCTGAAAAGACAGCTGCTTTATGCTTTCCTTGTAAAAGTAATTTTCCAGCTTAATTCACTGGTGGGGAAAGTCCACAATTCCAGTTTGATCCTCTCATCACCTCCCACTCAAGTAACGCCGGTCAGGTTTTTGCTGCATTGGAGAGGGAAGAGCTCGGAGGCAAAGAAAGAAAAGCAAGAAATCCAAAGGACGTGTCAATAACACAAAACAAGCAGACAGCAGCAGACGGCTCCAGGAAAAGTTAGAACAAGCCCCTGTGATAGGGTTGCCTCGCTCTCCTCTGCTCCCACAGCCCTGTGGCCATCACCTGCATCTACTTCACAAGTTACTAAGTGGACAAAGCATTTGGCACCTCACTAATTATAGAGCTAACATTTGGGCTAATCTGCACTGTTAAGCCAGCATTTAAATACACGGGACAAGAAAGTAATAGCATACAAGTGTGCATTTACAGACATCTACAGCCTGGCCAGGGATGCTGCTAATTATGACCACAGAGGATTTTAGAAGCTTTACACTCTATATTAAGTGTGAGGCTGCTTTGAGATACGAGTTTCATCCAAGCAGCACAAAGTTTCGACTCCATCACATGTGCACCAGCAACAGGTCATGGGTATTTTTCTTTAAAGGCTTCTGGTTTTGCATAAGCAAAAGTATACCAAAAATAAAGGATTAAGCAGTACATGAGGTCAAAAATGACGCACAGTAAAGTTATTGGAAGAAACAACAAAAGAAATGGCAAAAAGAATACTGTTAATTATTCAATTAATTATTGTTAATTAATTCAAGCAGAGAAGAGGTAAAATCATACCAGGCACACTGACATCATCCTCCCAACCTTACACGTGTCCTCTGCACTTCTACCTGTTTAATCCCTCAGGTTTTTATCGGAGTCCTCCACAGCAGTTGCATTCTCTTTGTTTGTCCGCATCACTATCCTGGTGGTGGAAGTGACTGTGCTGGAACCCTTAATTTATTAGCTTTCAGGCCTTCTTAACAAGCCTTAACGGGGAGAGGATCCACTCATTGCTCGTGTCAGTCAGCACAAGTACTCCAGTCTGGGTGCACAGCATGCCCATGTTAAGCAGGCAGCGAGCTCAGAGCTGCTCCTTTCCTCTTTGCATTCTGGCACAATGAGATTTTTCAAGTTCCACCAGTGCATCCTTTTGCTCTGACAACCTTATCAAAAAAGCTTAATGTCTGAGCTGTCCCAGGATTTAAATAAAGGAACCAACACTGCCTTGTCTTCATGACCTATTCCCTGCAGCAAATGATGCTTTTGACTGTTTCAGCACACAGCTGGTACGAACCGCACTTTTCTTACGTAAATGAAGTCAAGAGGGCAGGCAGAACCACAGGATCAGACTGAGTCAGGCTGGAAGGGAACACAGGGGTCATCTGGCTCCACCTCCCTGCTCCAGCAGGGTCATCCCAGAGCACATGGCACAGGATTGTGCCCAGACAGTTCTGGAGTATCTCCAGTGAGGAGACTCCACACCCTCTCTGGCCAATCTGTTCAGTGCTCGGTCGCTGCACACTGAAGTTCTTCCTCATGTCCAGGTGGAACGAACTTCCTGGGCATCAGTTTGTGCCCGCTGCCCCTTGTTCCCACTGCTCAGCACCACCGAGCAGAGCCTGGTCCATGGTCTGATTCCCTCCCTTCAGGAAGGACATTTACCCTGCAGGGTAAGCATCACACAGACCTCCCAGCAACATCAGGAACACTCCTAAGCAAACAGATCCAGACAGTTGCACGCAATTCCATCTTTCTCTATAAAGCCTGTCCGCTTTTGTACGGACAGTTAGCAGAAAAATTGACCACTGCCTTAATCCTTCTTGACGTTGTTCTCTCTGTCGCTTCCTTAGCTCCAAACTGGACTGCTGCCAAAAAAGCCTCAACCAGAAAAGGGAGCAGGGAAGGAAATCGGAGTTGAGCGAAGTCCAAGCGAGCCAAGAGCTGCTGCACGTGTGTACTCACCGTCAGAGGGCACTACGGTACTGCAATACGCCACTCGCACGCTCTGCCAAGGAGACAGCCGCTGATGCACCTGGAAAACACAAGCACAGCAAAAAAGGACAAATGTTCAGAGTCTGGCAGGATCGCACCCCAGTGCCACCTCCTGTGTCCCCCACCCCCCACACTTTCCCACCAGCCCCTTCCCAAATCCCTGCGCCGGGCACTTCCTCCCATCCACCGCAGGGGTAGCCACGAACCGGGAGCACCTCTCAGGAACAGCCTCTTCTTTTCCCATCTGTCACCCCACAGGGTTTCCCCCCCTCGGCCAAGTTCACCTCTACACACCTCACCCTCCGCACACGGAGCTGAGTGTCTGCAACAGAACAGCTGGGGTTTGTTCTCCTTACCCTGACGTGTATTTTTAAAGCCACGTGGTTTATCAGTTTTCAGAAATCAATCTGGTTTACTATGCAGACGTAAAAAAGCAGAAATCACATAAAAGCATCAGTCTTTAAAGATAAAAAAAAAAAAAAAAAAAAAAAAAAAAAAAAAAAAAAAAGAAGTTTTAGCATAACTGAGGGGATGTTCACAGAGTTGTGGATTAAGACCTTCATTCTCTTTGGTTGTTTTCTGTGCCAACGCGACTTTTTCCTTGCCCTTACACAGGGAAGCCAAACTCAAGACGCAAGTAGTAAACACGCCTGTTCACAGGACAAATTGTTCCAAGATAAAAAACAATAATTGTAATATTGAGCCATAAAAAAAACCCACAACAGCCCAATAAAGGAAGTGCATGAATGGTTCATATGCTCTGCAATCTTGGCAAGGGACCCATCTGTCCATGAAAAATCTGGAATCAGACTGATTTAAAGTCTGTCTCTTAGAATAAATTATTCTAGTTATACACTAATCCTCCCCAACAGCAAAATTTTAACTCTGGCACCCTTATAAAACAGAGTAAGGCACAGAAGCAGCTCTCACCTGTCTATGGTGGGATGTATCTCAGAGGCTAGCCTCAAATTTTTCAACAGCTGTGGTCCAATTTGGGCATTCCTATGGTCTGGGGTATTTTTTTTCTTTGCTGACTGCTAAAACACAGCTGCCAAACTGACATTCCTATAAAGGTATCTCATGGGGAGGGCTTGTTTAAATAAATTTCCAATGGAAGTTTGCAAACAAAACCCACGCTGTTGATGATTTCTCTGCCAAATTGTCCAGACCTCTATATTTTGTGAGGTTGCCCTCAATAATCTCATTAAAGTAAGATTTAACTGCTACTTTGCTTGTCCTCTGAAGCCTGCTATGCAATCCAAGGATAGTTTTACAATCAATCTTTGGCCCTGATGGTCACTGCATTGTCAGCTTTAGAAATTCATTTTGTGCTTATTTACACTTCATTTCTTTCGGTTTTGACAATGAAAAATCAGTCAAGTCATTTCCAATTTTCCTCCTCACAACTGCATTTTCAGCTTCCCACGGTTGAGAATCAAACAGGCAGATCACAAGAAAAGAGAACTGGGCATTAAACAGCTCCAACTCAAGTGGGAAGTTGCACGTTATGGCAAAAGTAACGTTTAAAAACCCCCTGAATGTTGTGAAACAAAGGGCAAACTTGCCCTTTTAACATTTGAAAAATAGCAACTGGACTGATGGGCACCCGTGTGCTGCTGCTGAGCAGCCAGGACCACCCCCCACCTGAAAAAAAACACCAGGTTTAAAACTCAAAACTACCTGAGGGAAAACACAGCTACAGTCTCACATTGTGGACAAATCAAGCTCCACTGTCTTGACATCACTATTATATTATAAAAAAAGTCAGAAGCTTCAACGATCAGAAGCTGCACCACACGCAAGACAGTTCTCAGAACCGATTTTTACCTAAGGACGAGCATTTTAACCCTTCTAAAAACAGTATCAGACCCAATAGTAAGTGGGCAGAATTCACACAAACCCTCCTGTCAGAGAGCACTACCCCAAAGACTGACTGTACCTGTTTTATCTGATCCCAGGGCATGGCTGGCACTGATAGGTGGTTTTCAGTGCCTCACTCTTCCCCTCTACACAGAATTAACTGAAACACAGCACGAGCCTGCCTTGCACAGCAGCCCAAAAAATCCAGTAGCAGTTTTCAGGAAATCCTAAACCCATTGCAAAAGAACTATTTGACTGGAAGATATTATCAGGCAGCACCTCCATAAGACTTTACCTTAAGGCTATGAGTACCTGAACGGGCAAGAACAGGGGAAAAGTGAAAACAGGTTGAAAACACAGGGCTTGTTAAGTGACTCATCAAAAAGCTGAGGTGTCCCTGGATTTAACCACTTGGACAATTCTTGCATCCTGATATGGGCTGAACCCCTCTGTTTCATTAACACACACCCCCAGGACTGTGCTGGCAGTATGTTTTACAGGAGGGATGCTGTTAAACCACATGTATCTGTCACTCCTGCAGCCCTGGACTGTGCAGAGTGATACGTGCTGCTGGTAGAATTTTTTATCTACGAAACCAGTCTCCACTGGTCAGGAAAAGAAAAAAAGAAAAAAGGAACAAATGAACTCAAACTCAGCAGAGACAGAAATGTCATGATCTGCCAACCAAGGTTAGCAAGAGCTTAAATAATCATCCATCATTTTTACTCCTGAAGGGAGACTGTTTGAAAACTGAGATGGAGAGAGATGTTCTGAACCCTTTATCTGACATCTGCAGTTCAACAGCTTCATGTAGAAATTATGGCAGAAAGCTGAGGCTGGGGACTGGAGTGGGGCAGAGAGAGGAACTTGTTTCAAGCTTTACTGACCAGATCTCACCATCAGTCAGTGACAGCTCACACCTCCCCTCAGCAGTGAAGTGTGGAATTAACTACATCCAGGTTTCAGCTGAGACTGACTTGTCCACCACTCCCAAAATAAGTAGTATTTGAAGTGTGAAAAGCACCAAAGTCAGACCACTGAAATGAGAAGCTCTAAGCACCAGAATAACTTTCTGTGTCTCAAGAGAACACATTCAGGAATTCACTTTCCACACTGGGATCTTTCATTTTCTCTGCTATCTGTAGTAAAATGCGTGTTAAGATGCTCAGGGTTATGCAGCAGCTTTGCTCCCAGAATGATTAAGGGAGCAGGAGGAAAAAAAAAAAAGAAAAAAATCCCAGTCCTTTATCCAAAACTAAAGCTTCCTCCAGCCTTGTCCAAGTCTATATTGGACAACCCAAAGGTAAAAATAACAACATCTCTATAGGTCCTAATGTAGCTTTCTCAATACTACCACGGGTGACAAAGTTAATCAAAGCCCTGCTGGAAAAATCAGCCCTTTAGCTGCCAGTGAGTGCTCTTTGATAGGAAAAGAGGGAGCAATGTGGCAGAGATCCTGTTCTCCAGTTATGCAATTATCAGTGATGGAATAGTAACAACTCTGGGAGATCGAGTCTCCAATCCCTAATTAAGATCAGGAAAGAGGTGGTCCAGAAAAAAAAACAAACACCCCCAAACATGAAAAAAGGTGAATATCAATCTAGAACCAAGTAAAAGATTTTGCTAAATCATTACCTGGACCAAAAGCTGAAGAGCTTTTGTGAAAAACAAAGGCACTCTCTGCATAAAAATTTCTCACTCCAAGTGAAACATTTAGGAAACACGTTTGAAAGTGCCAGCAGCAAAATCTATCTTACAAATTAAGAAAAGGGCCTCCTTTAAGTGAGGCTGCCTTAAGTCTGACACAAAGCAGCTCACCTTTTCCAACAAGCAACAGCTATTTTCCTCTATCCTGACTTTCACAGCATGAAACACTGACTGGCTGTCCTGGCTCTAGAAGCGCTTGTTATCCTAAAACCTCCCGGCTGGAATCTCAGCGATGAGAACTGCTGCAATGTTACCCAAGCAGCCACAGTAACCAAATTACCCACCTCAAAGGAGAGCTCCATTTATCCATCTTTCCCTCATTTCAGGGCTCCAACTGCTTTTGCTCCTGAACTCTGTTACATTCTGGTCTCTCCAAAACACTGCTTTGATCCCAAGTCACTCAGTCTCTTTTTTGTCCTCCCATTTTCCTTCCCCTTCACGCCAGCTGTTAGCAAAGCAAAGGAGATACAGAGCAAAAGCCATGCCCTGACCAGAAACCTGCTGTCCAAGGGCTCTGTGTGACTGTCCATGTGTGACTTATCACCACAGCGAGTATTTTTGCACCAGCACGTAAGCTCTGACTGGATTTAAGTACATTTAACTGTGGTGGATTGACTGGGGCCAGCTGCCCAGCCAGCTGTTCCCTCCTCTCCTCTCCTCGGGAGCAGGATGGGAGGATGCAGGATGAAAGGATAAAGGCAGGGAGATCATTCACCACTCTTTGCTGGCATAACAGCCTGGACTAAGGCAAAGCTGATTTACTGCCAATTAAAGTAGATAATAACAAGGAACAGACTGAAATTAAGACGTGTTCCCGCCCTATCCCAACGCTTTATCCAGGATCCAACTCTGTCCAGAGACCCTTCAGTCCCTGGGCAACCCAGACAGCCCTCACAGAGACCCCTCAGCCCCAGACATCCCACAAGGCCCTTACGGAGACCCCTCAGCCCCCATGAACCCCACACAGCCCCCACAGAGACCCCTCAGTCCCCATGAACCCCACACAGCCCTCACAGAGATCCCTCAGCCCCCCTGAACCCCACACAGCCCTCACAGAGACCCCTCAGCCCCCATGAACCCCACACAGCCCTCATGGAGACCCCTCAGCCCCCATGAACCCCACACAGCCCTCACAGAGATCCCTCAGCCCTGAGCATCCCCCAGAACCATGAGAGTCCCCTAAGACCCA